CCTTCTCATGCATAAAAGAGATCCTTTAGAAACTATACACTACATCCTGAGGAGATAAAAACCATCGCTCCTAAGAATAACCTGCAGTTCTTGTTCCTCACGGGTCTAGATAGGAAACTTTGAATAAGGGCGAGCACAATAGACCTTTAAGGTCGTGTACACGCTCCTTTAGGGTGAGGTATATGACCTACTTGTTGAGAATTTGGGAGCTTCAATGATAGACTCGACGAACAGAATAGAAGTTTTATTTTTTTATTTTCGGACTACTCTAATGCTGTTGGCCGCAGCTGGCCTTTACAGCTTCACCGGACGTTAGCGGGCGAGTGCAGATGGCACTCCAAACCCGCGGAAGGACTTATGGAGCGGCTGAAGGCCAACTCCTGCCTGACGGATACGACTTTAGTCTGAGGGCACCACTAGGGGTTCGAACCTCGGCTCAGGCCGTCGTAATTTCGATCCCCGTTTGTGTTTTATTGTAAAAATATTCGGGCCTTATATACCATTTTACACGTGTCGCTTTATTAGTTAGTAGCTGCATTACACGTGCCGTGCGATAAGGATTCTAGGAAGTGGATGGTGCCACGTGTAGAAACTGTGTTGCTACAGACCCATACAGGTCGCAGTGCTACAGGGCTTAGCATCTGACAATAGCCCAATACTCTTATAATAAAAATGGTTCTTGAATAAAATAATATGGCGACTATAAATTGATATGTAAGCCATCCCATCTTTCAAGTTGGATCAAAGTGCACACAATGTGCAGATCATATTTGCAATCGGTTCAGTAGCTTAGGAATCCGTCGCGGACTAACACCGTGACAGGTAATTTTTATATATAAAGATATAGAGATGTACGTAAACAAAGCGACTCCTATAGTTAGGTTTCCATGTGTTATTCCAGATAAGGTAGCCATAGTTCCTTGGGGAAGGATTGTGCTGACATGACCGACCCTCGTCCCATTTAATACTGGCGCATTAGTTTCAATTTTTGCGACGTACACGTGACACCGGGGGATTATGTAACACTATTGCAATCGTTTCTTATTTAAAAGAGGTTGAATTTAAAAGTTTCGCAATGTACATGTACTATTTACGAGCAAAACTGACTTGCTCAGCACTATTAGACTAGCGTCTCTTGCCCATTCTTCTAGTGATGAGTCTGCTTCCCTAATTAGTGATTTGCTATACACGTACTCTCTATCACCCTGGAATGGGCTTTCAAGCAGGAAATCTGTATTATTACATTTGACTATAGAGCAAAGACATAATTATAGAGCTATTAGAAATTTATAAATCATAAACGTGTCTTTGGAAAATAACAATCTGTGGAATAAAAAATATAATTTTAGAAGAAAGTGAATTGAGTTGAAACATATGGGAATTGTGATCACAGAAGTAAAATGTAATCGCATACGATATCGTGCGTTAGCTTTCCCGCGCTAAATAGCGAGCGCTCCTGAACACGCGTAAAAGAAAGTGTCATGTAAAAGCAACTTAAGAATAAAACAAAATGACTATTCAAAGATCATTTAGTTTATTCGAATAAATTCAAATTCAAAAATCATTTACTCATGTAGGACATTTTAGCCGCTTATGAACGTAAATTTTTTTATATTGTTATTTTTCCCTACCGTCCAGTTCAGTGTACAGATCCAATTGAGAAGGACTGGCAAGATTTTTTTACAATGTATATTTATATAAATCTATGTATAACATGAAATTCCCGTGCAACAACAATTATTGCCCTGAATAAAGATTATTTCTATTATATTTGACAGTTGCAGTTATGAATCATGCATATCGATTTGTTTGTATAGGAAAATTCTGTATAAACTTAACTGTATATAATTTCTTTCTACATAGGGGCTTATTACAAGAAACAATATAACGTCCAACTCCTATATCGCCTACTACCGTATTTATTAACCTGTAGTTCGTGACCCCTTGCGAATAGAAAATCGAAGTTAAAATTTTATATTCATGCAAGACACATTTTTATTTTATTTATTTATTTAATTTTAATTCGGATTACATCCATATTGTGTTAGTAAAAACTTATAAAACTATGTTAGTAACTTATAATATACATATACGTAGATATATTTAATTCATATATCTGTGTCCACGTCCAGAAGCACTGGGTCCACAATGCAACGTTATCCAGTGCCTCTGGAGCGGACAATCAGGTATATTCGCAACAGTTTTTAGGTCCTGGTCACCAATATTTTCGTTCGAGAACCTACAGTAGCAGATGGGGTGTTACAATGTCGTCATTACCATTAAGACGCCGAGAGGGTAAATAACACCGGCCACACCTGAATTACCACAAAACATTTGTTTCACCATTTATCAACGAAGATTAGTACAATGGTCTGCCTTCAGGACTTTGTTTAATGAATATCAATGTACTGTGGTTTCCCACTAAATATCGATATAAAATCCTTCATAACCTCGACAGTAATAAAACCAATAGGGACCAAAAAAGACAACCACAAAATGGGACGCCGCAAAAAAACTATTGTCGAAGCAAGAATTCTGGGGAAACATTAATAATATCTAACATTATTTGTAATAGATAATTACAGATTAAATCGAATTAGGTGTTATTTTATTTTAATATTATATATTTTATAATATATTATAAATATATATTTATAATATAAATCCATGGAGTAGATGATTACAGACCAATGTTGATAACGATGATTTCAAATAACAATGTTCCCTAAGTAACTCATCTTCCGCTGTGGGCGTGGATTGGATTCTGGGATATTATTATCATCATTATTACGTCTATTTCTATTATAATATAATATAATAATTACAGGAAATATCAAGACCAATACAAATAGACGTCTATAATATCTTTTACCTTCAGTAAAGAAATTCCATAAATTTTTGTCGTATCTGACTAACGGAAAATATATTTTTTTTATATATTTGTATTTATATTTATAGTTTTTTTATAAACTTCACTTGTTTTGTCAATAGTTGTATATTGGGACTTAATATATATATTGGGACAACTAAAGTAAGAGTATTAAGAAAATAAAATGACTTGGTATACAAATATCCGTATACCAAGTTATTTTATAGTTTCCCTTTTACCTATATCATTACATAGTATGTCGCTGTCTGTCCGTCCCTATGTATGCTTAAATCTTTAAAACTACGCAACGGATTTAGAAGCAGTTTTTTTGATAGATAGAGTGATTCTAGAGGAAGGTTTATATGTATAGTACATATACACCCAGACTAAGCCGGACTGAGTAGCTAGTACCATATAAAATAAAGCTACAATAATTTTTATCTCAATATCCGCTATATTCAGTTCCGTTAATTTATTTAATTCTATTAAAAGTATAAACAATAGAAGCTATTACAAATTCAGTCTAAACTAATTGGCTTTAAGTATTTTCCTTTGTCACTTAAATGAGAAAGTGAGCCTGGAAAGGTCGGAATAAATAATTATTGATATACATAGTTAATCACACGCAAGTAAGGCGCTTAAAAATTTAACTATTTATTCAAAGAACTATCAGGATTACTGACAGGTTTAGATCTTTTTCATGTAACTATAATTGGAAATAATTTAAGGACCCATCTGATATAAATGTCAACACGATTCCCGTAGAACCGCTCATGGCTATTTCCGCGTACCTACTAAGATGGAATGCTTAGGAATCCTGTAAAATCATTGCCACATTCCCTTCAAATCTCACAAATTATAGATGAGTAAATGAAAAAATATATTTAAAAAGTACTCTTGTATTGCGTAGTAAATAAGTAGTGTAGCGTATAGTAAATAAGTAATTAAGGTAACAAGCCTGGAGTTTAATATGCAGGAATAGGCATTGTTAATAAAATCATTGTTATTAAAAAAAATCATAGATGAGATCGAGAGAACCACCTAGACAACTTTATAATCCAATAACTCTTACGCCGTTTGATAGAGGCGTCATGTCTTTGGAACCGGTGCGTATGAGACTTGTTATGACAGGACATAATAACTTGACTTCGTCTTTATTCTAACACTAGCTGACCTGCGCAACTTCGTCTGCGTTTCATTTCCCCACCTTTTGCAATATTTTCCATCCTATTCCATCCTATTGGTCGTAGCGTAATGTTATATAGCTTAAAGCCTTCCTCGACAAATGGACTATCCAACACGAAAATAATTTTTCAATTCGAACTAGTAGTACATGTGATTAGCGCGTTCAAACAAACTCTTCAGCTTTATAATATTATAGTATAGATTTCTATCAGTGCGTTAGCATAGTATTTAGTAAGTTATATCATGTGCGCTGTATCATGGTTACTAATTTAACATTTAACAATTGCTACATTTAAGTTAATACAGTTATTAATGATTTAATATATAACGAATGTGGTACAGCTGAAATACTAAGTCATAATTTGTAAATCGCGGCAACTTTTAAGTGTGAAACGAAACGTTAATGAAACTGTCTCCAGCACCATGCTACAGCGCACATGGTATAGTGCTTGCTCACTATTTTATCGCATCGCCTTATTCTTTACCAGCTACTCGCCCCGGCTTCGCACGGGTGTACATGTATTACATATATAAACCTTCCTTTAGAATCACTCTATCTTTTAAAATAAACCGCTTCAAAATCATCACACATAGGTATACTATGTAATGATTACTTATTCTTCAATTTCACTCTACTATAGTGGAGGCGCTATATTTACAACATAGGTTTCAATTAAACCAAAATATTAGGTGTTTCAAATTACTTTACTGGTACTTGCACACGTATTTAACACTTAATGTATTTAACAGTACAATATTGCATTAAACACAAGGATTACATAATTTCAAAATAGGTGAATATCGAAGACTCTTTTAAAAGCTATAAAGTTATTAAGCTAAAATTTGTAACCACAGAAAGCAAGCAGGGATACAAAAATAAGAATGTTTTTATTAAATCGATCACGTGAACCTACTGTTATAACATCAATTATTATCTTAAGTGACATTAGAACTCCTTGCGGGTATCATTTAGGTCTGTTTTCTTATAATAGACTTCTATAATAAAAATTAATATAGATACAAAGCATCCAATCATCCAAATATATAAGATTCCAACAATTTGACTTAAATTAATACTACAACCCATTTGACAACTGTAACTGTTACTCTTCGTGCTTTTAGTTAATATCTTCGATTTATCAAGTACAATCAGACCAACTGATTCTCTATAAAATTTATCAAAAATACCAGCTTCGCTTAATCTCTTCATTGCATTTTGTAAATGTTTTACTACATAACTATCTTTTCTGATCAATATGGTATGAAAAAGCGATACTATATTTTCATTGACCCTCAGTGCTCCTGCTTCACTATTCACAGCTGACTCTACTTGAAATCTTGCAAACGCATTATCAATACTAACAGTTACACCATCGTTCCTGAGAATTTGTGCTGAACAATTGTCAAAAGATTTACAATCGTCTGCTTTTTGTATATATAATTTAAAACTCTCTTCTTGTATAAAAATTACAACAGATTTATACACATAGGGTTTTTTATCTGAATTCATTATTTCTTTATTTGTTCTGTATATTTTTGGAGGTTTTGCTATCGTGTAATTTGAATATAGCTCTATACTCACATATGCTATAAAATGTACACACATAAACAAAAAACATGCATTCAATATTTTCTGTTTTATAGTCATTGGTTTCGGTAACTCTGTACAGCCGAACAGACAACCCCAACTATTCAACAAAGTAAATTTAAAAGATACAGTCCTTTCTTCAAACAAACATAACACGTACCATATTATAGAATAATATAAATAAAATAGGAAAAATAAGAACAATAGATCCAGTTTACAGATAATGCCATGCCATGAGTGACTTCTTACAACAGAATATGCCCAGAAAAGCATCTGTGTTCCATAATTTGGTGAATACTCAATAACATTACCATAGATTCTATAGAAACCACCGGCGTTTGCATCCAGGCTGCCATTTAAAAGTGGTGTAACATATTCAGGTTCCATTAAATGTTTCAAGTAATGCATTTGTAAAGTAGCATTTAAATATATAGCAAGGATTTTCAAAATCTTTAAATCAATTCCTCCTAAACGATCATCATTTGGTTTTATAATGTCCATGAACTTTAGGTCTGTGGTATTATTAATTATAAAAAAAGGCTTATAGTTTCTAACACCCACTTTAAAAGGACATTTGTAGAAATTTTTAGGTTTCTTTATAGGAAACAATTTACTACTATCTAGTACACTATTACAAGCACCTACTTGTTTTGGTTTAATGCGTTCCTCCAATATACATTTTCTGGGGTTTATTTTAGGCATGAAAGTAAGTATTTTGTAAGTATTGTCCATATAATCTTTTGTTATAATTATAACATTGGACATAGCTGCTGTTCGTCCAAGATATTTCCACACAGAATCACATCTATTTTTCTCGTAATAGTCTAACACTAGTATATATCTGGTGGGCTTATCAATAATGGTAATATTAAATCCGAATAAACTTTCACAGTCATCAAAATAAAGAAAACACACTAAACTTTCTTTGTACTTCAACATTTCTTTAGACGACTCCACACTATTAATATCACCAATGACAACTCTTGGAATATTATTTTCAACTAGTTTGCCCATCATTACTTGATAAAAATCCTCATTCCGTGCCGAGCTATAATTTTGTGTTTTAAATATTAAAATGTCAGATCCATTAATAACATTAAATTGCAGAATTCTTATCAAACAATCTATCATTGATGTATCATTATATATATTGGATGGAACTGATGTGAATGCAAATGCAAATGAAGGCATAAATAATAAGAATAATATATTTGACATCACCATCGTTTTGGAATTCAGTTTTACTATATCCAAGTTATAAATCAATGTTCCGTTCACTCACATAAATAAAAACCATCAATCTTTGACTGATCAAGAGTAAGAAGTGAAGCAAAATTCGAAGAGAAAGCAAGAAACATTGTTTGAGACTATATCGAAACTATAATTTATATAATGGAATTCACATGTAGTGTTTCCAATGTCCATTTTGTTTAGATCAAAGGTATCGAACTTTTGTAATTACTATCATTTGAGTAGTAAGTCTGGCACCCAGTCACCGTAGGTAGTAATTATTTGACATTATAATAAGTTTTTATCACCAAATCTAAAATTCTAGAGAATCACGTAGTTTTAGAATCTATAGCACTGTACTCCCGGGACTATATTCTTCTTTTGCCTGCGCTTGGTCCCATTTATTTGAAGTCGGCCCATCTGCTCAGTCTTCGCCAGGACATTCTGTACTGGGTCGTCTATTATTTCGGCGCTTTTTTAATTCCTCTCAATAACAGACATCCATGTGAGACGGGGTCTGCCGAGGCTTCTGGGTACTCATATCAAGTACAGTTTTTGTCAGGTCTGATGGTTGTCGCATGACATGACCGTACCACCTTAGGCAGACTATATCTCACTGAGTAAAATAATTATGATGTGATTTAACAAAAATGTTCGAGTATTGCTTATGCTTAATGAGCGTTTCACAATGCAAGTGTAAACGGAATGGGCACTGTCGGTTGATGCGCGGTAAGTAAATGCAGCTACGGCGGGGTCAGCGCGGGCTGGAGGACGGCGTGTTTCTACGTTTGCTAGCTGCAGCCGATGAGTGGTATATTGGATGAAATATAGTACCTATTTGTGCAAGTGTATTGTAATGTTATTTATCTATACATAGAAATAAAATTGGAGTGTCTGCATGTAATAATGAAATAACCGTTTTTCCTACATGCATATCAATATAAATACGGTACATACACCAAAATAATTTTTTTTACCATTTTTGTCTGTCTGTGCGTTCCGGCTAATCTCTGAACTTGCTGGACCGATTTTGACGGGACATTTTTTGGCAGGTAGCTGATGTAATACGGAATAACTTAGGCTACTATTATTTTAGAAAAATAAAGTTAAATTCCACGCGGACGAAGTCGCAGGTGCAGTTTATAATAATTATATGTATGTATATGATGTATGAAAGAGTAACATCCATCCATACTCGTAAACTGACGCGTTTATAATATTTTTTTTTAGATATGACAGGTACTCATTAGAGAACACGTATACACTTGTATCGTGTCCACAATTGGTTTGTTTGTCTCGAGTGACCCCAGTCTACACCGTCCCCAGTCCCCCACATTTGGGGCAACTAAATATAGCGGGCTTACGTCGAATGTGCGTAAACACAGTCGGTCTTATTACAAAAAATCTGTTAAAACTCGGACGAAACATGGTCTAGATGGTCGTGGTTTAAACCATTCCTAAAGTTAATACTTGGAATAAACCTAACATTATTACGAATCCAGATCTAACAGAGGACTACTTAGTACTACAGTTAAATCGTTCATTATGTATTCCATACAGAAATCAGTCACTCATGTCTGTCACCGTACAATTACGTTCCATTTTACCAGAAAACTGAAAAGATCAAAAATAATATTAGTACAAAGAAAAATGTATAAACTAAAAATAAATTTATTTCTATATATCTATGTCTTCATTATAACTATTTCATTAATATATAATATTTATTAATGTACTATTAGGCTTAAAATCAGTTTTAAATTACAAGTAGGAGTCCGGACGGAGAAAAGGAACGGCGAGATATTTTTATTGGATCATTGGATCGTCGAATAGTGACTATTTCAAAGTCAAATGAGTGAAAAAATAACAAATAACGTCTTTTATATATTTTTATTGTCGTAAAATTTGCTTTAAAAATGTTTATTTAATATATTTTTAATTTTAGTTAAAATATTTTTCCAAAAACTACAACTTACAATAGAATTTTTAAAATGGAGTTTGACTTTTTGCATTTAGACCACTGTTAAACTAGGGGCATCGCAGGTCTAACTTTAGACCATAGACGAATCACGATTTAGAGATAAACTTCATTTTGTAATAAGGAATACATTGGTGAATGGTTTATTACTAGTGCTAAACCAGGTTTATCTTTTTGTAATAAGGCCGAGTATGTCACCGAATGTACCTTATATGTACCGTATATATACCTTAATAGTTTAGTACTTGAGTAGCGCGCTCTTAAAGTTCAAAATTGTATTCGCAAGTCAAACAAAATGCATATATTTAATATAGCAAAGTTCTATATTAATTTGTGTTGTAAAACATATGTATCCATGGACTCGTTGGTCTAGCGGTTTACCACACCGCTTTGCTTTCGATCGTCGCGGGTTAGATTCCTCGCTCTATGCAAACAGTCATCAGTGATAACCAGTATTTTGGGGGGAAAGAAAATTGTTAGTAATGTGGATTGATGATCTTATTGCTAGCAATGTCTCATGTCAGGATGACCTCCACGTGGTGACAGAGACAACCAGCGTTTTAAAGTATATGTCGCTTGATGCAAATATTACATTTTTTTACTATAATGAGTGTGAGCTAACCAGCTTTTGTGGGTATCTGTCATTCAAATTTATAATACAAGAGCATTATTGCTTGAGACTAAGAGCAGGTCTCTGTGGTATAATGGTTTAACACCGCTTTACGTTCGATAGTCGCTTGATACAAAAATTACATTTTTTACTATAATGAGTGTGAGGTAACCAGCGTTTTTGGGTATTATTATTATTATATTATTATAAACTCTTTATTGCACCAATAGAATTAATACATAAGAATTATACAGAAAAGAGATATGGAAGTACAAAAGGCGGTCTTATCGCTAGAAGCAATCTCTTCCAGACAACCTTTAGGTAGAGAAAATACAAAACTAGTAGGTGGCGCATGAATAGAATGGAAGAATATATATATAAAGCTAATAATGGGGATAGGATAATAATACCAATAAATATTAGAAAATAACACACATTATAGTATATATAAAATATATACATACATATATAAATATATAAATATACAGAAATGCAAGTACAAAACAACAATGTCATATGCAAAGAAACAAGACACATAGCAAGAAGAAATACAGGGAAATTTAAGTGGAGAGGTAATGGGATTTAACCGAGCTCTTAAAAATGGGTAGTGATTGTGCGCTACGAATGGAGTAAGGTAGAGAATTCCAAAGGCGAACAGCATGGGCTGAGAAGGATTTACTGTAGAATGAGGAACTATATGTGAAGGAGTTTTAAGGAGGAGGTTTGATGCACTCATCAAACCTCCTCCTTAAAACTCCTTAAAACCATGGCTTGCGTAGTGACGCAAGCCAGGGTTTTGTGCCTCTCCGAGAAATGAAAATCTTTCTTTAAGATAGTTAGGAGTAACAGGATTAAAAAGAATCTCTGGGTATCTGTAATTCCAATTTACAATACAAGAACTTTGTTGCTTGAGACTGATGTTGACCTGATGTGTACTGAAAATTCACTTCCTTTAATCGAAATACAACTTACAAAGCAACCTGCTGGGCGCCTGAAATAGGTAAACTTTTAGGAAGGTAACAAAAATATTTGAATAATGTAAAACGGGTTTTAACCCGAGTACTTTTATGATAAATAAATGAATTTACCTCTCACGATATGTCGACTAGGTCGCTCTAGCCGTGATACGAGCTGATTATTAATGTCAAAAGCCGTTTTTGTTATATTAATAGTGTGTACTAAACTCGAAAATTTAAAAATAAGTAACATTAATACTGTGATCATTTCTATATTGTTAACTTTTTTGTTTAAAATATTGAGAAACATTATGAAGAGTAAACATTTTTCTTTCGATTATTTTATTTTTGTATTGAATAGTGCTCCGTAACTAATGAACCGATTTTAAATTAACCGTTCTTATACCTCCATAACACCTGACGAACAGAGGCGTTGGGGATCCGTATGAAAACATCGACAATGTAACCCAACGTACCTAACAAAATACCAAAAAAATCTTTATATTGCATCACCATCTCAGTCTGGAAGACGTCCACTGCTGGACAAAGGCCTCCCCAAAGATCTCCACGACGATCGATCCTGCGCTTCTCGCATCCATCGCCATCCAGCGTTCTTTACCAGATCGTTGGTCTACCTTGCTGGAGGTACGCTCCGTCTTCCGGTCCGTGGTCACCATTCGAGGACTTTATTGCCCCAACGGCCATCTGTCCTACGAGTTATGTGCCCTGTCCTTTGCCACTTCAGTTTCGCAATTCTTCGGGCCATGTCGGTCATTCTGGTTCTTCTGTGGATATCCTCATTTCTGATTCGATCACGCAGAAAAACTCCGGGCATAGTCCTCTCCATTGCATACGCTATGGATCAGAGTGATGTACTACAGTTTTATAGAGGACATCAATATTTATTGAGGTATGTGTGTTAAAATTATAATTTTGAACTTTTTATTAAAAACACGTGCAAACCCGGGTCGGGCCGCCAGCTTATTAATAAAAAGATTAGAGATCTACTGCAGTATGGTTAACATACCTTTAGTGCATGTCAGCAGTTCTAAACGCGGTAAACTGGCCAATTACCTCAACAACGGTAGGTGAACTATTTTTATACTAACGTTACTACACGATCACTATTTTAACCTTCATGTTATTTCTGTTAAATCAATAAATAATGAACAAAATACTTTAATATTTTTAGATATCATTTATGTATTTAATTGATTAGACTTTTTGCCTGTGCAATAGC